ACACACACACACAATGTTTAACTTTAAAAGTAACATGTACAATACGTCATATTGTTTTTAAATATATTTTTCATATATATATCATATATATATATATATATATTTATATGTATATATATATATATATATATATATATATATATATATATAGAGAGAGAGAGAGAGAGAGAGAGAGAGAAACAATGGTTTCGTGGTTTTATGTTATGTAGGAATGAGTTATCTTTATGAAATCCAGAAGCTATTAGTATGGCATGAGCAACTGCTTTTAATTTAGAGAATTTTTTACTAATCTAAAAGATGTTCATCTACGACACAAGTTTCAGCCACAAAACATATATAATGTTGATGAGACAGGTCTCACAACTGTTCAAAAACCAGTTAAAGTATTTGCTAAAAATAGAGATAAACAAGTTGGAAGGATAACTTCAGCAGAAAGAGGGACATTGGTAACAGTTTGTTGTGCAGTTAATGCAATAGGAAACTCAATCCCTCCAATTTTTATTTTTCCAAGAGTTCATTTCACCGGGTTGTGTTGGGGTTGCAAACGCATCTGGTTGGATAAATGTTGCAACGTTTTTAGAGTGGATGAAACATTTTATTCAAAATGTGAAATGTTCACCAGCTAATTCAGTGCTTTTAGCCTGTGATGATTGTATCTAATCCAAGACCAATGACCATATATGATATAGCTTCAGTTGTAAGGAAAACCTATGCACAAGCTTTTACTTTATTTTTTCTGCAGGATTTGTTGTGGCACGAATTGAACTCTTTAATCCTAACATATTTTCTGAAAATGAGTTTTTGTCTTCATATGTAACAGACCGTCCAGAACCTATTACTGCTAACCCATTTTCAGATGTTGTTGATCCAGTTTCTGCTATTGTTCATGTCCCAGCTTTTAATCAATCATTGATGTCAAGTCACATGGTTCAGCTTGTAGTGTATTGCCTATTCAGCCTATATCTGACCCTGAAAGTCAACTATCCAGTGTTTCTAATTATATCTCTCATCAAGCAAGTCTAGAAAAAATTAGGCCATTTCCAAAAGCTGGAGTAAGGAAATCCATTGAAGGACGTAAACGTCAGCGAACTCGAATACTCACAGACACTCCTGTTCAAAATGAGTTAAATATGCTTCAGGAAATAAAAAAATCTCAGTCAAAAATAAAAAAAACATGAAACGCAAAATAAGATCTTCATGACAAGGAAAAGAAAACTTGATCTTGAAAGTAATGAAAATAAAAACTTTGAGTCTCAGTAAAAAATAACATTTTTTCATTGATTTTTTCTTTTTTTAAGAAAGATAAATTTGTAGTAAAATTAATAATAACTTTATTGGTTATTATTACAGACATTGTTTTGATGACTTAAAATTTATTTTTATACATTTATGGCATAAATTTGATCTCGAATCAAGTATACATACATAGGATCAAGGGTGCATATAGGTAGGGTCAAGGGAGCATACTGATATGCACCCATGATCCCAATTGAGCGTTCTTAGTTTTTATAATTTTAAATCTACTTAAAATATTCTGGTAAAAAAATGATTATTGAATTATAATAAAGTATAAAATTTGCTATTATGCACTGTTATTTTAGAGATCGAAATAAAAACATATATTCAGTAAATTGGCCTGATAGATTTTTAGGACCATGGGTGCATACTCTCCCCTATACACTTCAAACGATTTTCCATGCAATCAAATCTTGTAAAAATAATTTTTTTAAATTAAGATATTTTATCAGCAACAAAAAATTTTTTGTTTTAAATAATAAGGTTTAAAAAACGAATTTTGATTGTTCTGTGTAGGTAATTGAATGAGTTACTATTTAAACAATTTAATTGTGAAGTTAATAAATAAGTAATTAAATTTAATACGTGCTTAAAAAATAAGTTAAGCAGACAGAATAATTTTCTGTTTTCATTTCAAATATTTTACCATCCTTTTTTTTTGGCAAGGTAACAACAACATAGAAAAAAACTTAAATGACGAAAGGAATGTCGTAATGTCGTGCGCTTTGCCCGCATTGTACAATTTCTTGTTGCTTTGCTCGCATGGTCCAAAGCATTGTTCAATTTCTTGTTGTTGTTTTTTACGAGTTGTTATCCGAATCATTACGGAGACTTCAGCAAGATAAAAAAACTCAAAAATATTAACAATCAGGATTTTCTTTTTTTGTTTGTTTTTCAAAGTTGCACTTTCAAATGTTAACAACTAAGTTTCCACGGTGATTTAACAAATTTATACTTTTTAGATGTTGTTTTAAGGTTCTGACGACAAGATCCTTACGATCTTCTTTCAGATACCTTGTTTATGTTTGTTATGTTTCATGTCATTGTACGTTTATATTATTATTTTATTATGGGTTATTTAAAGCTGTACAACGATTAACAAATGTAAACCAAAAAAATAATAATAATAAAGATTTTAAGACCGCAAAAGCTCTTAGGCCATTTTGCTGTGTACGGTGAATGTTTTGTAGCTGAAAGAATTGTTTGTGATTAGTATACAAAGTTCAAAAATGTAAATTTTAATTTCAACGGTGTTAACTTTTTCCTGTCGTTTAGTTAAGTACTAGTACTAATTGAGTATAGTATACTTTACTCGATTACAGTTTACTGTAAAGAGCGGTTCAAATAACTTTTACACATAAATATGTCTCAAACGACAAGAGAATTGAAGTGAAAATACACTACTTTTACACTGCTTTTTCAACCAACAAAAAAGTTCAGAAATGTAGGGCTTGCGTTTTAAGTTACTAAAAATACGGTGGGAGTTGTGTTGGCAACTTTATTATCAACCCAATAAAAAACTTGAAAGACTTATTAAACATTTTTAAACATTTCTTGATATCTATGATTTTAAGAAATGGTAAAAATTCTTGATATCTTAACCATAGTTTATAAACTAAACGTGGTTAATTAACTATATATTTAAATGTTCTTTATTTAATGTTAATCATAAGTGTAGATTGCGTATTCAATTTATAAATTACATGAAAAATAACATTTCCCAAGATAAGAGAAGATAAAAAGAAGACCGGAAATTTCACAACAATATTTTAATCCAACTATGTGGTAAATAATACATTGTTGTAAAATAGTATTTTTAAATATTTTTCCAAAATGTATGTTTCAAAGGACTTCTTTCAAAAATGAATCGTTTGGCAAACCGAGCAACCCTATTTACTTACTTAAACTATCGCTGACTTAGAGATAAATGTGTAAAGAAACATGCGCACCATAAACACATTTTCAAATAAAAACTTTTGCTAAGTTCAGCTCAGAAAAATTTAGCGGGTGGTCTAAAATGAGCTTGAAAAGCAATAAGCTAGTTGGCTTTGTTTTAGATGCCTTTGGATTCTTTTGAATTTTTTTCTTCCTATTATTTCAAAAAAAGCTCTCTTTTGTTTATTTCGTGCTATAACTTTTCAACTTTGTAAAACATATTATTATTCGTTGCAAACTTTAGCAAACTGTAGCAGCAAACCAGTTTCTTTATATGAGTATATTCTTTATATTATATTATTTTTTGAGTGATTTTTTATTACTTTATTCTGAAATTTAACAAGACTTAACATTCTAATTCATTTAATTAAAAGATCTAAACTAATTCTACAATAAACCGCTAGATTGTTTCTTCCACACAAGCCGCCATCCAAGTTATCAACATGCGCAATGATTTGCATTTTGAAACCCTGAATAAACATGCGCACCATGTTTGTTGTTAGATTGTTTCACCTCTAAAAATGGACGCCACGAAATATCTTTAAAAACATCCCAACACTTGCACTATTATCAATTTTACACTATTTACAGTATTTTAATAATTATTATATTTAACTGTTTTGGTTAATAACATATTAGATGGCGTAATAAAATATCGTTTATAGTTATAATTAATTTAAAGTCATTTTTAAATAATGTGCTAGTGTGGCATTTTAGAACGGCGGCGGTTAAAATTTTTTTTTTAACTTTATAATGGAAAAAGTTTTCTTTTAATTTTTTCTATTTACAATTTGTGTTTGTTTGTTTTTTTGTTGTTCTTTTTCTACGCTCACTCCTTTTCAAAATTAAAAGAAAATTTGATTTCATACGTTAACTCTACGCTTTCAAATAAATATGACATACAAGTTCGAAGTAAATAAAAGACAATAATTAAAAAGGTGATGTAATAATAATTGCTTTATCTTTCTTTTCGCAATCAAACTTTTTTTAAAACACTTCTTCAACCAAAGGGTGTTTATAATTTACGAAATAGTATTCTTGCTTTAAGCTATTTTCTTTCTTCTGTTTTGAAAATTTGCCAAGGCACTGAAGATTAGTAAGAACTCATTGCGTCACTCATTTTAATTTTGTTAATGTTTAGATTTTTATTTTTAATGTAATTTTTTTTTAATTTAAAATTTTACTGTACATTTTTTACTTGTGCATAAAATACGATATAATCATTTAATATTTGGATAATGAAAAATGTATAAATGCTCAGTGTGAGCTATGTTTAAAATATTTGATAATAAAATTGTGCAGTATTGTTTAAAAAAAATCTTTTCGTATACTCCAATTAGATAAAAATATAAATATATATCAAATCAAAAAAGAAATTGAATAGAGTTTTTATATTCAAATAGAATGTGATTGTAATTTATCTTTACTTTTCATAAATCAAAGTTCAAATTTAATTAAAGAAATGTTTAAATGAAAGTGAGGGGGCAAGTAAAAATTATTTCTACAATATAAATGAAAATAAAAGATAAAACTATATTTTTCATATGTATTGTCGTTAATTTTTTTTTTAAATTAAATTATGAATAGATTTATAATCATTTTCTATTATTTAATTTATCATAAAAGTTGTTTTTTTTGAATTACTTTTTAGTTTACCTCCTGAAAGCTAAAATATATTCTAATAAGTAATATATATGTATAATTTTATAAAGACAAAAAAAAAAAAAGCAAGAGTCGCATTCTAATATTTTCTTGTCGTTTTATGTTTTAAGGGTAAATATACTTTTTAAAAAGCTATCAATCACCAGTTTCATACAACTACACAATCGCTGCCGGTAAAAATAAACTGTAAAAATAACAGGCGCCACCATGCAACTTTTGTTTCCAAGGCCATTATTAAATGAGCATATGGTAATAAATAATCAGTTATTTACTAAGTATGAACAAATTAATGGATATACCTCCACCGTCATCTGCCATCCATGGAGTTCGGAAAACGGTGGTGGAAAATTTAGAAGAAGACGTTCTAGTCATAGTGTTGTCGCAAATATGGATCCAGCTGCAGTGGCACGAAGAAATGAACGAGAAAGAAATCGTGTAAAGCAGGTCAATGATGGCTTTGATGAACTTAGGCAGAGAGTACCTTTTTTACCAGATAAGAAAAAATTATCAAAAGTAGAAATTTTGCGCTGTGCCGCGCTCTACATTAGAGACTTAAAAGATATATTAGAGGAATATGACTGCAATAATTCTTCAAAAAATAAAAGAAGCAGTTCCGAATGCAACTCTAGCAGAGATAGCAATAGTGGAGATGAAGATGATATATTAAGAACGGAAATGTTAAATTTATCAACGGACCAACTTTTAGTCAAAATCGAAACTCCGATGTCTTAATATAAATGACAGGAACTCAAAATGCAGGAAGTAGACACAAAATTTAAAAAAAATGGTGTTTTGACGTTAACGTAAAAATGTTTGTAGTTTTCATGAAAAATTTTTGTTTAATTTTTTATAAATTATTTTTGTGTTCGTTTTTATATACCTTTTTGTCCAAAGAAATTATGTGAGCATATTTTGTAATATAGATATTTTTAGTTTAATAAATGACGTTTAAGATTTATTTTGTTGATTTTATATTTTGTTTAAGACTGCGTAAAGTAAAGCCTAGTTTACTATTACGGCCCATTATTAGGATTGCCAGATGTTCGGCCTTTAGTAGAATATAGTGCCAAATCTATAAAAAAGTTTTATTGTGTTCTTCTTTGCATCTGACAAAAACCGGACATCTGGCAAAAAGCCGGACATCTGACAAAAGCCGGACATCTTGCTACCCATAATCCTATTAATCTTAGTCTCATTATAAAACAATTTTCAGTATTCAAGTTATAAGAAAAAAAATTTTTGAAAAATAAATTATTTTTTTATGTAAGCAAATATTAAATGAACGTTTGTAATGAAAAATAAAGTATATTGATACAAGTAAGTTTTTTCATTAATGTAAGCGCAAATAAGATTTCCAATTGTTTTTTATTTACATGAGCACTGTAAACGTTTATCTTTTATTAGCGTAGTATATTAGGTATCAGTAATATTACATCAATGAAGCCCTGTACCATCAACCGGGATTTATTGATGTAGTAATCAAGTAAATCGGATTGAGGAAGAAATTGATTCAGAAAGAAAAAAAAGATAAAACAATAATTGAATCATTATTGAAAAGATACACGATAATATTGCATTAACTCATATTTTAATAAAAACAAAAAAACAAAAAAAAAAAACACGTTAATTTAAGCGCAAAAAACTATTGGTTACATAGTAGTTTATATTTGGTTTGTGGTTATATTTGGTTATGTAGGTATATTATATTGGTATAGGTATATATATTGGTGTTGTGGTTATATTTAGTTATAGTGGTTATATAATGGTTTTATAGGAGAAGATGAGTCTAAATGACGAATAGGGCAAGATGGCTTTTAATATAATAACTAAACAAAAAAAGTTAAAAATGAGTAGAAATGAAACTGTATTTGTATCTAATATTTTAAAACACAAATGTTTTTTTAAAATAGTGTTAGCGTAAATTAAATGCATAAGCTTCTTATTTGCGCTTTAAAAAATACCTTGGTTTCGGTACAATCGATGGTGCTTTTGGGTATAACCTAGTAATACTTTTTTGCAACACGCGTTTATTTTGTGTAACTTTATCTATAGTGGTTGGAAACTTTATTTAAAGTAGTTGGTATACGCGTGATTATTTTGTAGAACTTTATTTAGAGTAGATGGTTTTATCAAATTGGAGACAGAAAACGCATAAGACATCTTGACCCGATCACGTGATCAGATGACAAATTTATGAATGTTTTATTTTAATTTTTACTCCAAATTCTTTTACTTGCAAACTGAGAACTTATGCAGGCAATCAATTATTATGATAAAACAAACAAACCATAAAACGGGGTGACCCAGATAACACGAACACGTTAGCCCGACGTCGGGCCAACGTATTTCGAACGTATCGGGTAGAAAAACATCGGCTTGAACATATATCGAAAAATATCGGCTAGAAAAATATCGGCTTGAACGTATTTCAACGTATCGGCTAGAAAAGTTACGTCGGCATATCGTAGGAAATGGAATGTTTTAAATGTGCGTTGTGGTTTTCTGCGCTTAGCTTACTCAATAATTGAGTAAACAAAGCGTAGAAAACAACAATGCACATTTAAAACATAGTTATTTTCTAGGCAAATATAACACGTTGGCCCGACGTCGGGCCAACGTGTTAATTTTTAACTACTGCACAATTATTAATCCGTTGTTTAAGTTTATTAATTTATACAACGGAACAATAATTGTTCAGTAGTTAAAAATTAACACGAGAAAACTAGTACACGTTGACCCGACGTCGGGCCAACGTGTTATATTTGCCTAGAAAATAACTATGTTTTAAATGTGCATTGTGGTTTTCTACGCTTTGTTTACTCAATTATTGAGTAAGCTTATTATTATTATTATTATTATTATTATTATTATTATTATTATATAATTATTTTAAGCTTATTAGCTAGGGACACCTGCTGCTGAAACCAGACTTACACAGGGTCTTACTAGAAGGCCGGTGTTATTTGGGAGCCGAGACTCCGTGTTATGACCCAGTTGAGGGTTTTAGTATGGCCCACTTAAGGGTTTAGTTGCCACTCAGCCGAAACTGAGCAGCGCCAACTTAATGGTTTATCTCCATTTAACGTCCGGAGTGGACGGATCGCTTTGAAATTTCCTGACGTAGAAGGAGACACTGAAAAAGCGACTACGCCAAGAACCTCTATCGACTGTCACGGTTTCGATCTTGTGTTGTTTCTGCTTTCTAACAACACCGTAACCAATTGAGAGATGGTTCGGAGCCGAAATAAGAACAGATACTACACTTGATCTTAGCCATTAGGCCTAGAAGCGATTTTGCAAAAACTTACTTCTATACTTAATAAATAATGTACACAATTAAAATATTTAAAATATCTATGGCTAGAGTAAATAGTTGGTAAAAAAATGCTACTTATGGTCGACATTTTTAGTTAAAACTGTAAAAGAAAAATTCTTGGGAAACTTTTGATCAAAATACTTAATTTATTACTTTTTTTTATTACGTTTTTTTTTTACGTTTACATATACTTTTTTGTAGTTGTTGTTTTGTTTTTTTACGTTTTTTTACTTTTTTTTTAAAAAAACTTTTTTTTTTACGTTTAAGCATTATAAGTATAAAAAATGGAAGTGAACTATTTTATAATCCTTATAATGCTTATAATGCATTATAAGTGCTAATATAATGATTTATTATAATGCTTATAAAGCATTATAAGTGAACTATTTTTTTTTATTAGGTTTACGTTTTTACGTTTTTTTTTTTTTTTTTTGTGTTGTTTTTATTACATTTTTTATTATGTTTAAACATTTTAAGTAACAGATATGGAAGTGAACCACGTTCAATAATTTTGCTTGCATATGTTAAAAATCTTTTACTTGATTTACAAAACATTTATTTATAATTTTATAGGTCTTTTTCTTTTTTAACGACGCTATAGTAATTTGCTTAAATATCGTGTTGGGTAGGGTGGGGTAATCTGAGTCTATTTTTACGTATTTCTGACTTTGAGTTAAAAAAAAGCGATGTTTAGGTATCGGCTTTCTGACAAAAGATGTCTTAAAATCATGATTGGACATCCTGCTAAACAAATTTAACAAATAACTATTACTTAAAATTCTATCAATAGATCTGGGGAGCCTTTATTTGAAGATGCCTATATACCCCAAATTGTGGGTCTACATAAATTGTTGGCAGTTCCGGTTTAAAAAACTGCTGCTTATGAAAAATCTGACATACATTCTATATGCCCGCACCTTTATTATAGTATATGTATACAAGGTTTTAATTTAAAAAGTAGTCTTAAGATATTTTTATTAAAAAAAAAAAGGGCATACATACACAGGACAACAATAAAAATTAAAAACTCAGAGAAATAAAAATAAAAAAAAGGTAAAATAAAAAAAAAGGTAAAAAATAAAAACAGAAATAATAATGTTTTAATGTGTTAACATTTGTGCTATTTTGGGCACTTCTTAGATCTTTTTGGGTATTTCTTTACTACTTCAGTAGAAGTAATAGTTTTTTTTTACATTTTTTTTTAACTTGATTTTTTTCCTTTCTAACTTTTTGTTCCTCAAGTAACCGTCGTTTGACTTTCTCATTTGTAAGGAGTTCTCTTCATTTTGCTTGTACTCTCTTCCTTTTTTGTTTTTGTTGTTCTATTATTGCTGCTGTTTCTGCAGATACATTAGGACATATGATTGACCTTAAAGCTTCTCGCATAGCCAATCTTGGTGTTTGTAATCTTGGAGATTTAGGGTTATAACGTTCAAGTGATTGATTGAGAAAGTCAATACCTATTATTCTTCTTTCCATCTTTTCTTTACTTAATAGTGAGATACCTGTACCTCGAAATCCTGCTATCGCATTTGCTGGAGAGAGTCTCTCACACAGTTGTTTCAATAAAAGCTGTCTTATCAATATTTTTGTGTTGTGTTTCTCTTGAAAACCGCTTTAAAATTTTCCTCCACTCATTCTTTTATGGTCCGAAGACAGCCCCATCTAATGGTTATAATGCGTCTAAGCAATTTGGTGGAAGACAAACAATTTGGATATGGTTGTCCATAGCCGCTTTTATGGTACCATATGTTAAATGACTGCCATGACCATCATAAAGCAAGAGTATTGGTTTTTGATCTTGGTCAACAAATGGTTTAAAGTGCTCGACAAACCTAAACATAGAATGTATTTACTTCTATTGAATCATTTATACCATCTTCAAGAACAATAAAGGCAACAACAAAAAATGAAAAAAAAAGTTGTAAGAAAAAAAAATGAAAATTAAAAAATTCAAGTAAAATACCAGTTTTCAAATAGAAAGTCTTGCATCCATCCACTTGCTGTTGCACTAAAAGCACATCCTAGTGGTCCATTTTCTATCAATCTAGAATACAGATAGCCTTCTCCCTTCAAAACAACATATGGTGGAAGATATCTTCCATCTACAGACACACAGAACAGCACAGAATAGATAGCTTTACTAGAAGAAGCAGCCAGTTCATAAGCATCTTTGCTTTTTGGATGTACAAATACTCTCTTCGTTAAGTGGTTTGTGGAGAGCCCAGTCTCATCAAGGTTGTATATACTACTTGGTACTATGTTATTATTATGTATTACACCAGATAAAATAGTAAAAAAATATCTATAACTTCACGTGTTAAACTTTTAGCTCTTGAAAATATAAGTATTTTAGGTTTATGTAATCGAAGTTTTTCAACATGACGCTTCCGAAAAAAAATTATCCAGTCTTTCCCAGGAATTCCATTTTTAAAAGGAATTTTCATCCTCATGGCTGTTCAAAATTGAGTAACTAAATTACAAATGTCATGAGAATCTAATGGAAGACCATATCTTTGACAATACTGAGCTGCAGCTACAATCATAGTTTCATCATTATCACTTAGCACACTTTTTCGACTTTCACGTTTGTTTGCATTAAATTCTTGTTGTTTTATTCTTTGCCTCAATGTTTC